GGCGCATTGCGCCTATGCATGCTTTCGACGAGCAGCAGGATGTAGGCACAAACCCCTACTCCGTCCATCATGAAGTCAGGGCTACCAAGGGTGGAGCCGCGGATGGATTGGCTTCTCCTTGTCAGTAATAGAAGGTACCCTTAACTTGTCCCAGGCGAAAAGGTTTCGCTGGGTTCGCTTCCACTTTGGTGTAAGAGTTGAATTGTCAAATCTGAAATGACATTAGGTACATTTGAAGAAATTCCTTTAGGAATATAGGAATATGCAGCATGCTTATCTAACGCATTAGGTACCTATATAAATGGTGTGTAGTAACAAATCAAGTAAAAAGCCTAGTTATAGAAATTCACTTTTCAATGTAGAAGAGAAATCATTTGATGATTTTCCCACCTAAAAAGGTATATAGGTATTGCACTTATTATTTCCAAGAAATAAATAAATCAGCAAAGTACATGCATCGCGTCGGCACGAATGGGCCGACTCGACCGGTGTAATACTACGGCCTCACAGAACAGCGGCGTGAAGCAACACTTACGTTGTGTTTCGTCGTATGAGTAAGGTTACCGGAGGCCATAGAGAAATTAACCCACGGGTTTTATCCTCTTTGGCGGAGGCTCAATCTCAATCCTCAAATCCCTAATAATAACTCACAATAGGCCGGCAACGCAGTTGTATTATAGTAACTGACTGCTTTGGTATAAAGAGTGACCATGGGCGGCGCCAATTGCTCGTTTGTCAACATATAACATAAAAAAAAACTCAAATTAAACAAATAGGTACCTACCCAAAGATACAAACTTCCTACAACATATTAAGAACATTAAGACCATCAAACAGAAGGGGTGTCAACATAATAGCTTATATTCCAAAAGGGTACATAGATGGAAGTAGAATTCTTGTTTGAATGAAATGTTACTCTGCAACCACGTTTTTATAACCATCATAACAGTTTCGGACACCCTACGTAAGTATCTAATTGAATCCTATAACTACTTATTACCTACAGTCCTGAAGATCTATGTTTTAAATGTGAAGGTACCTGTGTTGTAATCAGGTAAGTACTAGTTATTTGAATATATCTAAAGGTGATCTCAAAACCGCAACACCTTAACCTCACATTTAACCTACTTAGGCTACTAAAGGCACAATGTACAGTGGACAGGTTAGCGAGTTTTTTCCAAAGGTGACTATGCCTTTCTCAGGTACAGGTACCCTACATAATTAAGATACCCCATTCTAAAATGCTGATAACGGCAAATTTACCCCACATACTGCCAAATTATCAAGAAATGGCTACCAAAGTACCTCTTGATTTCTCTAATGTAGTAACAGAACAATGCGCAATGTCTCGTCTGTGTATTTACATTATAAGAATATATTATAAGAATATACTGGTATTCCGTGTTCTTCTGAACACGGAATACCAAAGAGATGGTGGTGAGGTTTGATAAATTTGGTAGTACCAATTTTGTTACATTACACTAAAATATTGTCTAATGTCAGTAAGAAAATAAGTTTGACTCGCAATCGCCTGTGAAGGGTTTCGTAGCAAGACAATTTTACGATCGAAGATTTATAATATAAAAGTATTCGAAGGTTTATAAAACTACTTACTAGACTAAGCTTTCTCTTACTCAAATTTTTGCTAAGTATAACTATATAGACTCCATAAATCGCAATATTTTACCATTGACCTCAGTTTATTAGAAGTCTCTAGCGGGATATAGGAACAAACTGTTCATTTAGAGATTATTTCTGTCTTGGGTCAAAAAAGGAATATGCTAATTATAATAAGTTTTTCAATAGGTCGGGTAGTTTCAATCTTAAACCTTCAGAGACACCTTCAGACTTCAGAGATAATCGAGACAGTCGAGTCCATGTTGCGGAGCGAGAGGAAGTCATCTCAGTCTATCTGCAAAGCGGTTAACCTATGTATGTTTGCAAAGGAGAGAGAAAACTATCCTCCTCATGCCCCAGCAGCTCTAGTAGGCGATACTCCGGGTGTCGGGGATCGAACGATGATCACCGTAAGAGCGGGTACGGACGGCGCGGCGAGCAAGGGAACCAGAGCCAGATTAGAGCATAAGGCGCGTTGCGATCCGCGCGCGCCTCGCATTGGTCGAGAAAGGTAATTTGATGATTTTTCTCTCATAAAAAAGGAGTAGATAAGCGAAACAAAAAAAAAAAACTGTCATTAGACAGATGCCCAACTTTGTGTACCTAAATCTTTAAAACTAGTGTGTGATTGAAGAGGATGGTTGATAATTTATATTAGCTTTTGCCCGACTATGTTCGCGTGGAAAAGTGACTTCCTGCAGTTTTTTGTTTTAAAAACTATCCTATGTCCTTTCTCGAGTTACAAACTATGTCTATAGGTACTAAATTTAAAACAATAGGTTCAGTAGTTTAGGCGTGAAGAAAAGACAGACAGACAGTCGCTTTCGCATTAATAATATTAGTTAGGATGTATTACATCCAGTAAAACGTTGGAAAATCTAGTAGGTACATAGTAGAATAGCACCCGAGCGGGTCGCTAGTTCATTAATATGTGATGCAAATGTGGCACAATATTTTTAAGAAATTACAAAAAGGCACGAATTTCGATCTAGCAATTTTAATTATCTGTATTTAATTTCCCAAGAATCATAAAGCAAGAATACACGACTTTTTTTTGTGAGGGTAAAATCATCAAAATGACTACTCCCGCCCAGGACCGGGCGGGAGTGCCAGACTCTTGCTGACTAAAAGCCCCTGTTCCTTTTCCTGCTCTGGGTCGCGGTGCCTCATTGCGCTTAACTGAACATCGGCTCTATAGGACCCCGTCTGTGGTGGTCTATTGGCTCTTTGAGGCGCGCGCGGAACAAGAATACAGGACTGGAAAATCTAACATGTGAGTAGTTACCTATTGCTACCGCAATAACTAGTAGATACACACTGTTGCTAAAGTTGGAACACTATGGTATTCGAGGGGCTTCACTCAATTTATTAAAATCATACCTCCAGGATAGGCAGCTTAAAGTACAGGTTAACAAAGTGAATTCTCAGGGTGCTAGCATATCTATGGGCGTACCACAGGGCTCGATATTAGGTCCTTTCCTATTTTTTGATCTACATAAATGACTTACCTCATTTATTTCAGCGAGAACCGGGAATGGTATTATTTGCTGATGAAACATCGTTGATTTTTAAAATAAATAGACGGACAAATAATTATGACGAAGTAAATAATGCTATTACGAAGGTTCATAACTGGTTTACAGTTAATAATTTAGTTCTAAACGACAAAAAGACAAAGTGTATACGATTCAGTTTACCAAATGTAAAAAGTAACGAATGTGACTTTTTTTAAACGGCAAGAAATTGGAATTTGTAAAGCAGACTACTTTTCTGGGTGTAACCATAGATGAAAAACTACAATGGGGGCCCCATATCACATCTCTGGCAGGACGGTTGAGTTCTGCAGCATTTGCTGTCTGGAAGATCCGACAGCTAACAGATGTGGACACTGCAAGACTGGTGTACTTCAGCTACTTTCATAGCATTATGTCGTATGGCATCTTGTTGTGGGGACAGGCTGCTGACATTGAGTCTATATTTGTCTTGCAAAAGCGTGCAATCAGAGCAATTTACAACCTAAGGCTTCGCGAATCTCTTAGAGATAAATTTAAAGAGATCAATATTATGACTGTGCCCGGTCAGTTTATTTATGAAAATATAATGTATGTTAGGAAACACTTAATATTATTTGATAAGGTATCAGACAGACATAATTACCAAACTAGACATAGAGATAGATTGTGTCAGCCATTATTTAGATTGGCAAAGGTACACAAGTCGTTCATGGGATTCAGCGTTAAGTGTTATAACAAAATCCCAGGCGAAATACAACAATTAAATGAAAGAAATTTTAAATTATGTGTAAAGAAAACTTTGTGTAAAAAAGCATATTACAAACTGAGTGATTATATTGAGGATAAGGATGCTTGGAGACGGGCTGGTCCTGCTCCACAGGATAATATACCTACACGAATATAAATAATGTTCCAGTGGATCTTTGCTTGAACGGAAGTTCTTAGATTTTGTAAATTTGTTACCGTGCTATTTTTATTGATAAATTTGTAAATGTGAGTGCCCTGTAACCTATTAAAATTAGTTAGACTAGCAGAATGTCGGTCCATATGTCAGCTTGGAGTTGTCATGCTCACTCAAAGGTCACATTGGCGGTGGCACGGTCACTGGATCGCTCGATTCCCTATATTATGGTTGAGTTGGGCGATGCTGGTGTACGTGTCATGCTCGTGAACGGGCGCCGTCAATTGGGACTGGTCAGCTCCGGACTGTCTATTGTCCTTAAGGTTATTTTCTTTTTATGTTTCTACATTCATACACGCGTTACACTGTTCTCACATATTCAAACTAACTAAATAATGTATCAAAGAATGTTTATGTGACACTGATTTTAAAAGAGTAACCATGGAGTTTCTTGCTCGTTCTTCTCCATCGGAATCTACACTTTGGAACGAGCGAATAGCTTCACTAAGAGGACTGACCGACAGACTGACACTTTGTATCTTTAAAGTTGTGTTGACGTTCAAAAGTGCCTGTATGGGTCTAATTGAAATAAATAATTTTGACTTTGACTTTGATAAAAAAATGCATAGGAACGTTCGGCAATTAATAGTTTTCTGACTCTCTTTATAAAACACCTCAGTTTCATTGTTTTGAACCGGAATGATTTTCATTAATTAACTATTTGCGGTATCAGCAGCACGAAACGTCAATTAGGTATCTAATGGAAAGAAATGATATTTGCATGAGATAATATTTATCAGATTCCAAGACATAAGTACGGAGCCCTCGGCGTGGCTAAAAACTCCAACTCCGGACTTTGATGGGATAGCTTTTATAGCTGCCATTGCATTTTTATTACTGTCTTAGTATTCAAGAATTTGTCATTAGATAGAAACTTAAAAAAAAAACAAATAAAAGTGCTTGTTATTGTAAAAAGGGTAATCATTTTATTAATTGATATACAATTAGTTCAAAACAAATTTCACCATATTACAAATAAAACGTCGTAACGTTTGACCATCGAATTATATTGTGACCAAGCCCTAATCAGATTTAATAGGTACCATTAGTTATCAACAACTGTATTTCATCACGATTAAGGCAGGCACATCTGTATGCATACTTGCACAATAGAAATATTGAGGCTTAAATCTTACTTGATTATTTTAATGAATTTTGAGTGTAAAGATAAATAATACAATTAATGTTCTAATAAATCTAAATCGACTAAATATTTTAAACATAAGACATAAATTCTAAAATATAGAAAAATCAGATTCCCTATGGTTGTAATGCAATCAACTGCAGATAAATTCCTTCAAAAAGGAATAATATAAAATAATGAAATATTAATTATTCACAAAAATAGAGGCATGAAGGAGCAGCACCTGACCTAAACCTGTTCACATCAAAATTTTATGGAATATATGCAGTTCTTAAATCTTTACTGTTTGCAACCATTCACATTAACATTATAATATAGTAGGTAAATAACAAACCCATAGAAAATTTTACACAAATCAGTACAACATGGTCACATACGAGCCCCAGTCTTTGCTGCAGTATCTTATTTATTGTAAGCATTCTGTGCTGAAATATCTTTCCCAGATAAGTGTAGTAAAAGCAAAATTATGATTTTAGAGACTACAACAAAGACTGGGGCCTGCATCGAAGCAGTGTGAGCATTAGCAATCCTATTAATATACACGTATATCCACACCGCACTAGTGACTATCAAATCAAGTTCTATTTCATCAGCACAATTTTAGATTGTCTCCGTGCTTTATCGAGTCTGTTCTACACGTTAGACACTTTGATACTCGTAAATTTACACTTTACACTCGAGTCAACTGTAAAATGGACACTAATTTGTAGCGCGCACACAAACTTTTTGCTCGTGCTAATCAGACCCGCCGTCATCGGCGGCTTCTAAGAAACTAAACTTGTTGGAGGCAACGAAGTTCTGTAACAAAAATTAAACACTATATAACACATAATAACATTTAACAAACATAGATTAATTAATTAATAAACAACATAACATACCGGTTTCTCCTGCTCTTTTAACTTGGGCATGGTTCTATCATCGGTGTCGTCATGCCTGTCGCGCGAGCGACTGGGACGCGAACGTCCGTTGCGCTCATGCGATGGCGGACGGCGATCGTCATCTCGAGTGGCGGAGTAGTCGCGGCGTCTATCGCCGGAAGGATCACGACGTCGTTCTGGAGAGGCATCCCTGCGTCTGTCACCAGAATTGCGACGGGGGCGGCGATCTGGCGAATAATCGCGGCGGTCTCGTCGATCGCCAGAAGAGTCTCGACGCTCATCTTTATCGCGACGATCGCGTTCGTCACGGTAGTCACGTCTGTCTCGCTCTGGTTCTCGCTTGTCTCGGTCGTCACGCTCGCCATGGCGATCTCTGTCGTCCCTATAGTCCCGTCTGTCGCGATCGTTATACTCCCGTGGGTCTTCTTTAGAGTAATCGCGTTTCTCACGATTGTAGTTGCGTGAATCTCTTGGACGATCATCTGCAAGATATTACATAGAATTAAATATTTTAAAGTTAGTCAGTCTTTAAATAATATAACAATGATTTAATTAAAATTAATATTAGCTAATTATATATCCACATACCTCGTTTTGGTGCAGGACGACGATCACCAGAATGGTCGTTCTGTAACAAAAACATATTTTTGGTGAGATGTAAAAAAAAAAATAGTCAATGCATGCAATTATCTTTGTATTGTAAATTTTACTGACCCTTCGACCCCAGCGCTCTTTGTCTTCCCCAGCACGCCGGGCTTCTTCCTCTTGCTGTTTCCGCAAACGTTCCTCTATTTCACGCTCTCTGTAAGAGTAAAAGAATCAACAACAATGTCTTAGGATATCAAATGGTCTTATATAAAGGAGTTAACTATTATGTACAAATATGTGTCTGATAGTATTTAAGATCACCATAACAAGATTTAAAGGTTTAGATAAGATAACTTACTTAGCTGCAGTATCAACTGGCTTTGCGGCACCAAAAACTTTTTCAGCAGGCACAGGCTTTGGTGCTGCCTTTTCAGGAAGTTTCTCGCCCACAGCACCATCAGCCGGCTTAGTAGGTACCTCTGGGTCGCGTGGGACTGTACGAGGCAGCAAATTGAGCTTTGGTCGCTCTCTTGGTTTTGTATCTGAGAAATTTAAGGATATTTACATATTGCCATAAGACATTCAGTAATTTTGGGTAAAAATGATGATATGTTACATATATATTTTCCAGTGCACCTATTTATTTCAAACTGTAAGTCTCTACTTATCTTTTGCTTATCGAAACATAATATGCACATTTGATCATTTTGGAACAAATACGCAAATTAAAATAATTTTACAATATTTAAAATGCATTTAATTACAAAATATTTTGTTCATCTAGATATGTTGATAAATATTAAAAAACATTTAGGTGCCACTGATATCAATATAACTAGAAGTATGGAAAATTACTTGGTGAAGCAATTAGACTGATAAGAGACAGAGCAAAGATGCTGTGTCATTAGTATGTTACAACACTTTATTTACTGACCTGTCTTGATGATTGGAAACTAAAGTAAATGTGTTTTTTTATGTTTTACAAAATATACCTTCTCGGGGTGGCGGATCACGGTCACGGTCACGATCTCCGAAGTTTCTGCCACCGAAACCTCTGCCTTCTCTATTTCTATACGGAAAACATACGTTATTTTACACTTTTCCCTGATCAAGTTGGAACAACACATAATATTTAGTAAAATTTTAGGCCAATGAAATATATATTTTATTATTACTTTACTAATGTGGAAGCTAATGGGAAAGCTAGTATGTTCTTAATGAACTTACCCAAAGCCGCCTCCATCACGTTCGGCTGTACGGAATCCGTCTCTGCCACCATACCCACTGCGCTCTGGACGGTCCTCACGACCTCCGAACCCACCACCGCGTTCTCTACCCCTGTCATAATATAAATTTATTAGTTATTTCCACATAAAAACTCTTGCTTTATAAACATAAAAATGTAATTATGTTGGTATAAAGCGACCGAGTCTAGCATAGAGCATGAACCGGTGTCTAGGTAACCTCTTTGATCTAGCACCACGTTATATAAAATTATATAACTCTTATAAATAACGAAATATTGATATTTCGCTATTTTTTTCATGTGCTGGAAGACTATCTTAGCATAATCACAATAAAGATTCCATGAAATAGATTACTTTAGCATTTGACTTACTCTCCATAGCGGTCGCGTCCGAACGAGTCACGTCCACCGTAGGGTGTTCTTGCAGGCTCGGGCGGAGCTGGACGGTCGCCGTCACGCCATCCGCCGGGGCGGTTATCGGCACTCGCTAAAAATGTACAATAGAGATAAAATAATGTGTAAAGAAATGAATAGTTTATAATTAACTTATAAAAAATATAATTCACTCAGAATTAATTACTTGGTAAACGGAGCAAACTAAAGACTAGTCTGAATTGAGTTATAGCAGTGCTACGTCACAGATTGAACTAAAACAGCTGGTCACAGGGACTTCCAAAGGCAAAGCGAACCTAATCTCGTCCAAGTGGAGTCTTCGACAAAGCTCATTAGCCCGAGTTTCTGGTAACCCTGCTACCGCTATAAGCAGTACCCCTTGCTGAAGAGTTTAGTGCCAAATGCACTTGACCTTTACTCAGACCTTCCCGAGACGTATTGAGTAACTGAAGCCGTTGATTTAAATAATAAGATGTTTACATGAAACAATGTTGGATCTAATCGAGTCAGCTGTCGATGCTACTAAAGAGCGGTGCCAAACCCAGTGTGAGATTTCCCTAGTACCAGCGAGTAGGGTGCGGTACGAAGCGATGGCCCAGTGAGTTGGGGTAATGCTGCGTGAGTTGTGGCAGACACTGACGTGAGCGGTGCGCAGGCTGGTAAGGCCAAACGCATGCGCATGGCGCCCGCAGAGCTGGGTGGCTGCGACTTGATTAATGCTCTATGTTTGCAAGGAAATACTATGTACGAGATGATGCAGAAGTTGACACTGCTGCCATGGAAAGTGGATTACGATTGTGCTATATTAATATATAAATCAACGACTAACTTGTACTCTGTGTGTGCGCCCCAAGTGTGACATTATAGTTAGCTCCATCTATCAAGTAACCCATCATCATTGTGTAGTGTAAAAATCTTTCATAGGCATGGACATGGTATGATATATAACCCTCAGGTTGTAACAAACACATGCCAAAACATTAATAACAAATAATTTGAGAATTTCTATACATATTGCCATGGAGAGTTAACCATAGATACACCAAATTGTGATTTATAAATAATGGTGAGGTGCGTGCCTTTGTGACGTCACCGTAAATCGCGTGGTAAATTGTAATGAATGGTATGTATATATTATGCACGTTTTGGATGTTAACTTTATCTTTGCAGATTCTTAACTCAGGATAGAACTTTATTATATATAAATCCTGCAGTAATTGCGGTTAGGTACTGAAGCCATGTCACACAGGTTGGGGCGAGTAATATATGATTTTCAATGAAAAAAAAAAAAAAATTTTATTACCTAGTATTACTACTTACAGTCACGTTCGCGATCACGATCACGGTCCATGTTACTACGATCCATGCGTCGTTCATCGGTGCGCGGTCGGCCTGAAGGCTCGGGCATCGCACGTGGTCCAGATCGCCAGTCACCCATGGTCCTTTCTGGGTCATATTCCCTAATGCAAGAACAATTTATTTAGTGCCAATCGAATTAATTAGCTTAAGTTAAGTTCAAGTAATATATGGGACTTTCGTTATCCATATTTGTCAGTATATTCGTAAAAATGTTCTCATTAATCGTATCATATTCACGTGCTTTATCAGCACCATAAACTATTACATGTGATTCAGTTCAGATGATAGTTTAAGAAGCTTTCCTGCAGATATATTTTATTCAGGTAAAATAACTACTTTTTGCAATAGTTTTGAAAACAGATATTTAAAATGGTCAAGCAAAACAATAATTAGAAACGACCATTTGTTGCAACAAAAAATTGTGAGTACCTAACAAAAGTATTTTACCTGTCGCGGTCGTTGCGACCCCTTCCCATCCGACGGTCATTGTCCTGTGTCGACAGCTCTATGCGTATTCTCCTGCCCCCAATTGTCTATGAACAAACACAACTAGTTTACAATTGGTATCATACACAATAGTCCCTTTTGAACAAAAAAAAGGGGAACAGCTTTTTTTTGGTTGAAAGAAAGACGAAAATCCTTTGTCTTTCTAGAACAGCTGGGTCTTCAAACTCCTTTGTTCTAACGACAATAAATGTGAGAAATATTTCAGCAACCATAAAAGTATGGTAAAAACTATGTGCAAGTAAATAATATTCTTACCAGGTCAGGAATATTCATGGCATTTATCAGCCCTTCTCTATCTTCAAAGTCGACACATCCATATCCTTTGAGACGGTCGCCCTCGCGCGGCAGTCTCAAATTTGTTATCTAGTAAAAAAGACAGGATTATTAATTTAAAATTATCAGTTTTAAATTTTAATCACCACATATAGAGTTCTATCCTGAATAATAATTCAATGACATTGTTCTAATTTGTGTGGTTATTAAGTTTATTAAGTCACATGAAGTTGACTCAATATGTTTTCTTTAGTCTTTAGATATCATCAATATTTTCAAAAGAATTCAGTTTGTTCATCCACTCTCATTACAACACAAACAGATCTTAATATTGTGTTGGATGGGTGATGAGTTTCTGGATCATTTTATTCTTCTAAATGTTTTATATTGCCTATTTTTAATAAAAATTTAATATGATCTGCCATCAATATTTATGTAACAGTATCAAAGAACAAGACATGTATTTAAAAAGCTGTATGTATGATAAACTGGTATGTTCAAGCAACTGGTTTTGTCCAACGTTCAAGGCTGTTGACATAATTTACAAGGAATTACTTTCTAAGTTATTAAATTCATACAATAGTGGTTATTGTACTCGTTTTTATGTTCTTTGTTTCATATTATTATATTATGCTAAACATACAGTGACACTAAGTTTTACTGAAAATGGCACCACACCTGGCCACACCCAAGATATTCAATGACATGGTTTTTATTGTCAAGTCTTATGATACTGATATCATAAAGAATAATACCTTAATAATGGAACAGTGAACATAATGAGATTATATTTTATTACAGGGCTTCAATGATAACATAATTTTGCGATTCAACTCAGTGCAGATTTTAGTAGGATAATGCAAGACACAAATCAAGTGTGCATTTTTACTTGATAGACTATTGTAAATATAAACGCTTCCTGTGCAAAGGATCATTTATTAGTATCCGCTATGGAAACTTAAAAAAGGGAGTAATTTCTCCCGTTTTTCGTTCTCCCGTTTTTTAACTGCTCTGCTCCTATTCTTTGTAGTGCAATGAAAAGTATCCTATAACCTGCCCAGGAGTATTAAGAATAATTGTATCAAGTTTTGTTAAATTCCATTGAGTAGTTTTTCTTTCTAGGAACATATATTACTAATTGTATTTTTGGCATCAGTCACAATCACTTATCACTTGGTAGTTATTTTGAAAATATATTTGATGTACAGAATGGACCCCTCTACAGAATTTTTATAAGTATTGATTATGCTTCACAACATCTGATTTATTTGAATGGGATCAATTAAATACAAAATTATTAATAATATTTAGTTGTATTACCTTAAGTCCCGCGAACAATTCAGTGATCGCACTTTCGTCGACATCATACGGTAGGTTGGAAATGTGTGCAGTAAACGGTGGGCGCCGGGGGATAGACTCATCGTCCACGGCCAGGCCGCCACGCGCCGCCCGCGACGCTGACGGCAACACGACCGGCGCTCTAGGCCGAGACTGGTACCCTCCGCCATATGCATTCTCAGCTAAGTCAATATAAATTTACTTCGATTATATAATATTCAAGTATTATACAAAATTTGATTTAGGTACTACCATTTGGTATTTTCTAAACTATCAATAAAATGTTAAATTACACAAAAATTAAGTTGGTTCAGAAATTACCTTTGTTATAGATAATGTAATGACCCACATCATTAAGAGACGATTAACAACTACTTAAAAGTAATAATGACAAAATCATATTCTGGACATTCAAATCTATTACTTTCTTTAAATTATTATGATGCTCAGGTATTTGGTTTAAATACTGTAAGATGATCATATAATATTCAGTAAGTACATCATTTAAAGTGTTACAATTGCAAATGCTAAGATGCATTAAATAATGTTTGAGTATTCACATTGATATTTACAAATGTCAATAAATGACTGCAGGAATCTTTTGGCTGTTATTGTCTTTTATCTACTGGTAACTAAACAGTAATTAAAAGATAATGCATTACTGTTATTTACAGTCAATACCTACAACTTAAACAAAATACTGCATTTCTGTTGTATTATTGTGATGTTGTAGAAGAATCAATCAAATGAACAACAATAAGCTTAGTTATTTCTATATGCATATTTCTATATGCATGATAAACAATTGACAACATTGAGTACCTTAAACAGCCTGTTTCCAAATTGCATAATATATACAAATGTATATGGTACATAGCAGCTATTTGGGCATTGCTAAAAAGGCCCTAACTTTTGAACCATTTTGTACCTTAATTTTTGTCTGGTAATTTGTTACAAACATTAACTTTATGTGATATTTCATTTAAAATAATAAATATGGAACACAATTATTTTAAAGACCCTCAGAATAATTAGGGAGCAAGCCAATGAGAGACTAGTCTGAATTGAGTTGTGACATAAGTCATCTCGTAGATTGGGCTAAAATTGCTGGTCACAGGGGTTTCCAACAGTGACAATGTCTACAACTCCACCTGACCCCACAGGCCTGGCTTCACAGGCTTAACATTACACTGTAATTTCTGGTTCCCCTGCCTTCCCTTTAAGAGAAGCATCCGGCTAGAATGTTTTTAAACACAAAGACCTTTACTCAGACCTTCCCGGGGCGAAGAGAGTGACAAGCACTCAGTAAGTGCGCCCCAAGTACGAGATTGACATTGGCCAGCCTTTACCCTTTACATGTCATCATTGGGTCGAAGAGACTTAAAATTATGATAGGTATATGATATGAAGATAATTTGCACTTACGTTCTTCATCAACAGAGTCTGCCCAATTGTGGGTTGTCGGAATAGTCGTTGGTTCCGCGATGATATCAGTAATGCTGGCCGGTATCCATTTCGCCTTCTTTTTAGACTTGCCTGGAAAAGTAACACAGAAAAAAACATTACATATTTCGTTAAATATTAGTGACAGCTGGATGTAAATCTGAATTAGGTAGAGGACAAGCTAATGAATAATGATGACGCATAGTAAGTGAACGACCTACTCCGATTTTGGAAAGCGGTTATTGGCGGACTTATGAAAGGACAATTAGTATTTTATAATTCACATCTTTCCTAACCGTCTCAGAAAATATTATAACCAATAATCAGAATAATAAATATAGCAAGAGGTAAAAAATATAAGATAATTGAAAAATGTGGCCACGCGGTAAATCCAAACGTCCGCAGAGGTGAAATGATGACACGTTAGCATTATTAGATAACATTATATGGGCTTCATAAGGGTTGGATTACAAATTTGTTTCACATGCAAACTAAATTAAGTATGAAATTTGATGATATATAATAAAATAAGGCAAAACCTAGAGATTTTTTCACGTGACAAAATTAACAGAACTAACCTGAAGCGGCCATATTCTGCGTTGACCGCTGGGTTTGATGTCTGATGTTGCCAGAACACTGCAGACTTTTGCTGGCAGACATTTACATTCAAGTATTGCCAAGTAATAAATTTATTTTATTACTAGAAAATAACAAAGTTACGCAAGTTAATCTTTGTTTTGGGAAACGATATTTTAAACGTGTACTCAGCTAAAAGAGTTAAATCATAGTACATTTTTTTTAGAATTTCAATATGAGATATGAAATGAAAGCCAAGTAACTTTTTAATCAATCATTTGTTTAAATTAAATATCATTCTTTTAATAGGGAACAAATAAATTCTATAACAACTGGCACAGTTGTTAGGTATAGAATTTATTATTTTATTACAAACATTGGGATAAAAATAGTAGACTTTTTCCTGAATGACTCATGTAAATAACGTATTAAATAATTATATATTATATTGACTCATGATTTGATATTTTATATTTAAGTTAGGTTGATAGAAAAATGAAAAGAAAGAAACATAAATCATTATTTACGCTGTGAGTGTATTGAATTTACATGACAAAACCATGCATGCATTACATGCAAAAACAAAAAATCTAATAAAATATTACTTAAAGCGCAAAAGGCTAGTGCTCATACCTTACATTTGAAATTTTTTAAATATGCATTTTTTTTAAGATTTGGAATAAAGGGTTTTTTAGAATATGGTAAAACCATGAAAATAGGGATTTTCGAGGTGTTTCAACATCTAATCGCCGCTCTTCTGTACCTATTCAAAGCAATAGCCCTACTCACATTAAAAAGTCCTATAAATAACTTAAGGTGCATGCTTCAAGGTAACCTTTAAATTACGTCTTGCACCCAAGACGTCTAGTTTAAAATCTGGGATGTCTAAGTATAGTACAGTTCTTAAATTATTACTTTCCAAAGATTTCATTCCGGGCATTTCTAATTAAGTCACCTATTTATCTAAGTTACAAAAAATGACAAAACATTCACGTAAATTTTATTGTTTATCGGTGAGAATTTTTTTTGAATGGTTGGCAAACGAGCAGACAGATTACCTGATAGTAAGCAATCAGCGCCGCCCATGGACACTCGCAACATCAAAGGAGTTGTTGTCAAGTGTGTTGCCGACCTTTTAGGGATTAGGGATTAGGGATTAGGGATTGAGGAGGGTTCGGGGGAGGGAAAGGTTTGGGCCTCTGGTAACCTCACTTACACGGCGAAACACAACGCTGTGGTTGTTTTTTTTTATTTTTTTATTTAATAGGTCGGCAAATGAGCAGACGGATTACCTGATGGTAAGCAATCAGCGCCGCCCATGGACACTCGCAACATCAAAGGAGTTGGAGTTGTTGTCGAGTGTGTTGCCGACCTTTTAGGGATTAGGGATTTGGAGATTTAGGGATTGAGGACGGTTCGGGGGAGGGAAGGATTGGGCCTCCGGTAACCTCACTCACAAGGCGAAACACAACGCTGTGGTTATTTCACGCTAGTTTTCTGTGAGGCCGTGGTATCACTCCGGTCGAGCCGAAGCTTGGCACACCCACACTTGTTGGTTTATAGTTCCAGAATTTGGCATTTGTTCACGACATAGATAAGTCATTGAGCAGTGTAGCAGATGGCGCTAACTGTGCGATTCGAATATAATATGGTTAAAGTGTTAAATAACGACCCGCCGGCCGCCAATGCTAATGTGCAGCTACAATGATACGCAAGTCCGCGATTTACTAGATGTTAATATACTTACTTAAAAAACTTCCTTATCAATAAACTAATCTTTTAAAAACGCATCAACCTCAGTTGCGTAGATTTAAAAACTCCAAGGTGAAAGTGACTTTGTTTTATATGGTCTTTATTAAATATGGTGTTAATGAATTAACAGTTGTTTTTTTATATATCTTCTAAAGTATTTAAAATGAAGTATGAAAATAGAAGTAATATAGTCAATTACATGCAAATTTGTGTAAGAATAGTAAGTACCTATTAAGAATTGGAAAGACCTTACTAAGACTTTACTAACCACGACCACCCTGGTCGTAGTTAGTAAAGTCTAGCACGCCTAGGGTTACCATATGTAAATAGAGGGATACCTGCCTATGGCATCTAAAATGCCTGTATTTTCAGAAATAGGTATAGGTACCTGTTTAAAGCAAAACGATGTAGAAAGCCAACAGATAATAATGAAGAAGGATTTTTATTATAACTTTCGTGAGACATTCTAAATTAATTATTATGTTTTCGGCTTACTCACGTAATAATTTGACGAGATACTCGACTAGTTTCAAGCCATGCTAGAGGCCCATATTCATGATTCTAGCATGACTTAGTAGGTAAGCCGAAAACATGATAATTTATGAAGAATGATATTTTTTACTGATATTTGTCAGAGCAGTTTTTTTATATGTAGTTCTTTCTTTTCTAATATATAAACATCTTCACAAGATACACTTTTATTTTACTGATAAATCAATATTGGTTTTACTAATTCAATTGTCAGACAATTTTTATTTTAAAATGCCTGTCAAATGGGGCAAATGCCTGTCATATAGTAACCCTAAGCACGCCCATTATTACCAATAGGTACATTGACGCTTGAAATTAAAACCTAAAGTACTTACCCATTAAAAAAATCTTTGGATAGCGAATAATTCCTCAATTTCTGGCTAAGAACAATACAATAAATGGTGACATATATAATATATCGGCCGTTACAGAAGTAAACATACGACATCTCTCTTTTTTTGAGGGGGAAATTATCATTATTAGTTTGTCTCTCAGCTTCAGCTTGGGTCTCTCAACACGGAGCATGAGTAAGGGAGACTCATTTTAGAAGAACCTACCCAAGATTTTTAGCTACCCAGTCATGAAAAACTGTTTATTTACTTAACAAAAAATCTGGAATGATAGATAGGTCACTTTCTGGGAATGGGGGTGACGCCAGTTTGTATATCTATACTAATGTTATAAAGAGGTAAAATTTGTGAGTTTGTATATAGGAGAAAATCGCGCGAGAGTAGCTAGTGATGGAATTTGGATGGAATATGTCTAAAAATGTTTGTATGAATCGCAATAAACGTCTTCGATCAGTCAGTTTTCTGCCTAACCCCATGATACAGGTTTGGCGTTAATTTATTTACCTATAGGTATATCTAAAATTATTTTTTTTCATACTTTTCACTTCTTTGTTATTCTGATTTGAATAAGTTTTGTAAAGTTATTTGCATTTGTTGGGTGATATTTTGCCAAAACAAGACCATCTTGATTAGTTTGGTAGAAAGATAGCAGCAATATTAACTGTTAATAAAATGATCTGCCTTTTATTTTTCCTTGCACCTGGGTGATTCTTCACATCAATTAAAAAATAATTAATAATGTCACTATCCTCAACCGAAAATTAACGAGTCTGCTGATTTAAACACAGATAATTATTTTATTAAATTAAATCTCACCACTGCTTACAAGCAACCGATTAAAAATATTGTATAAAATAAATTACTAAGATGCTTAAAAACCTGGGAGGATAAAGACTTGTTAAATAAAAGTTAAGGTTTTTTGGAGAATCACCCACCTCCTCGTGGTACGGTGGGTACCATCATCAGCATCATCACCAATCTATAAATAGCCACTGCTGAGCAAAAGGCCTCTTTTCACACGGGTGCAATCCTAATACTAAATTTTTCCACTTTTTAATGAGTATTATTATCATTTACCTTACTCTTCACCAATCACTCTACAATTAAATGAACGGCTCGCCAGCACACAGATAAACCCTGGGAGGTTTTCGTTGTGCGGCAATAACATTATAACAATATATAGTAAGTACCTTGGAAATAAATAAATAAAAAAAAACCTATACATATATATAGGTATCAAAAGAAACCGCATCAAAATCCGATGCGGAGTTTTAGGAGCTGGACATCAACTTTACCACTTATTTCTGGTTCTGGGTCAAGGCAAGTTTGAGTTCGTTGTTTCACTCATTAGTTTTTTTGTTTACCTATTGTTTATTTACTTTATTGGATATTTTAAGATTTAAACTATTTTGAAAATGTATGTAATTATAATAAATACATGTAATGTGTACCTATACACATAAATTTATTACAGACTGCTCTTATTCATGAAGATGATAAGGTGTATACGTCAATCCATTTTTTTTAGTTTAGTAGTAACAGTTTACTTGGGGCCTCCACTGCATTTCTCTCCTTCCTCTACGTTTCACACGATTTTTTGAGCGGTTAAATCATCCAACGGCTTTCCCTACCTGGATGGGGCGAGCTACAGGAGTGTTAGATTTTTAACGGCTGAATTTTCCATGGTTAGATAAAAGTTATCTGTTGAATAATTATAATGCCGTTGCGTCAGAATGTTTGTAAAAGACAGTGAGAGCAACAATTTTCATGGCTCAGATAATATTTATCTGACTATTGAAAAATCTGCCCTAAGTCTAAGGTAGACCAAAAACTACCTCGTTCCTTTTGCTGCACTTGCACCCTCAACCACCTCAATGCTTGGTAAGCGAGTTGGAAATCGCAGTTTAAAGGGTTGAAGTTTTCAATTGAATAAATAGTCCTTTAGTCGGCTCTCGCCGCACTTGTGGGGACAGTAGGGATGGTCGTAAACATATTCTACTCGTACTATATCTACGAATAGATACAGTATTTATTAGATTCTCCTATTTAGAAATATTCTATTGGTAGTTTTTTATGTGATACGACGGCAAACCAGCAGGCGGTTTACCTGATGGTAAGCAAACAGCGCTACCCAATGTTAACGGAAGAGTTACGAGTTCGTTGAAGACCTAAATGAGGAATGAGTTTTGAAGATTTTTGGGATTTGGGGACGGGAAGGATTGGGTCTCCGGTAACCTAACTCACACGGCGAAACACAACGCGGTCGTATAAATATATGGCATGTATTTAATGCAGCGACTAAGTAAAATGAATATAGGTTCTAAAAAATAATAGAATGGGTAATATTTATAATGGTTTTTTTTACAGAATAAAAAGTTATGCAGGTAGACACAATGAAAAAAAAATATATTACTGTATTATTAGGGCAGGTTTAGATTTGGCAGGACGCCCTCGCTTTCTTTTTTGACCAATTGGAATCAATTTGGCCTCTAAAGGCGGAGTGGCTAGTTCCAACCTTATGGCAAGGCCTATTATATGTTTACACACATATATTTAAAAAAATTGAGGGCAGTTGCACATGCCTTTCTTCCATTCTGTTTTTGGTAGTACAACTTTCCAGAACGCAAAGTTTTTTTCTTTGTACTCATCAAATGTATGCCATGTTTCATTATATGCACCCATACGCACCCCGCCACCCCGCACTACACTCGTATCCAACCATCGCATCTTCCACCGTTTTCACGAAATTATAATAAAAAAATATTAATAATTAACGCTTATTCCTTTTTATTATACTCCTTTTAACATCTAGAGCTGTCCGCAAAGCGAAGCCTGAAACTGGGTTTTTAGACGGCACGAAATAGTTGGTAATATCTTTACCACCCTAACTAACATTATTAGTCGCCAAGTCATTAATATATAGCTCCTCGCCTAATATTTCAATTGACTGGTATAGTTTATTTGCCACCCAAACGCAGCTGCTTGTTTTTAGTTTTTATAACACCCTTAATTTTGAACCTTACTTAATATAATAGTCGCGAAAATATTTAATTGCTGGCAAGTTATTTTATTTGTTGCAAACATTTAGTCGACTTTTAAGTTATTAGTCACTCGGAAAATAATTAGCTTAAATATATTAACATTTTTAGTTAATTAAGATTAGTTAAACGAATTTAAAATTTTGTCTCATACATCGAGTGATTGTTATTGGCCTGATAAGCTTCGGTCGCGAATCCAATACCTGAGCCTGAGACGGCAGACAGATAGGACAATGGGATAGGTTTTTGAAGGTTTTTCGAAATGTGAATATTTTCTTTGATTTGACGGGACTGGGAAAAAGTGGGTGTTATATTATTATTTTGTATGTTCTTTCCATTCACGGGACCACAGGGCCCCGGACCTTTGGAAGGCGTACGAGGAGCTGAAGCCAACTTGCAGAGGCCCGTTGAACAGTTTTAATATAAATGTGATGGGACATCAGCCGGCAATTATCCCTGTATGCACTATAAAAGTGGCACAAGGACAATCCCCGGTTGATGCAGGGCTGTTGTGAAATGTGGTAAAAATTGATAGAGTTATGTATATGGGTTGCTATGCAATAGTGGATGAAAACTGTCGAAATACTATGGCCCTTGGCCCTGATATTATTATTTGTATGTCTTTACCAATCACGGGACCACAGGGTCCCGGTCATTTGGAAGGCGTACGAGGGGCCGGAGCCAACTGCGCAGAGGCCCTTTAGACAACTTTAATCTAAATGAAATGGTACACTAACCGGCGACTATCCCTGTATGCACTATGGAAATGCACCCAAGGACAGTCTCCGGTTAGAGTAGGACTATTGCGGATAATGGAAACAAGGGATAAGACTATGGGTGTGGGTTGTTATGGACTGGTATGATGGGAACTATGGAAGGACTATGGCACCTGCCGAAACAATGTAATAAATACACGTAAAAATGGCAGGTGGAGACTCGCCAACTCACCGACCGGGCCCCCGGGAATGGTTACTAGTAATAGCAACAGAGGGACAACGGAAATGTGAGTGGCTGAAGGGTGAAGAAACTGCCACCAGCTTTCTACTCAGATCATCTGCATCTGCCTAAGCATCCTGCATCACTGGCCCACTCGCCGCTTACGAACAGCTTCCACCCTCCGAGCAGGATCACTACTCTCGCGACTCCACTCTGGACGGCCAATGAAGGCAAGCCAGAGGTGGGAGACCTGTTCCTCGTCATCGTCCACTCCGGCCAGCCAATGAAGGCAAGCCGGAGATGAGGAACGGTGACTTCTCCCTGGAGCAATCGGGATGATGGTAGCCCGCGGGATCGCTAATTCCCGTCACCTCGCCTCAAGGTGCCCTGCGGGCATATTATTATTATTATTTTGTTAGCAACTTTCTCTCCTGATATTAAGCAATGAGACCAAAGATGAAGGATGGCTGACAAAATCCCATAAGCTACAAAACCCATTCAATCGGGACTTGACGACATACTGTTTAATTTTTAGGTTCACTTACGTCATTATAGAACCAGCTTTTGAATTCTTCGGTATAGATAAAAATATCGATATGATTTTTCAAGTCCAATGGAATTTATCGGCAACTGGCTCTGCTTTGTTCGAGAAATCTATTGTCTAAATCAATACTTTTCTAAGAAGCTAATGAGTAAGGGCATTTGTATTGTTAAGTTCTGGTCTGCGGTGTTTGTTTTGCGAAGGGTATAGCTGGGTTTCTTCAAGGTACGAGGGAATAGGTTGCTTTTAGGTAGGCGTGCTCCGTCGTTGATCTCATCATAGCTTATCACAAGGCGTGACGGCGGCCAAATGCCTGCCCATTACGAAAAAAAGTGAATGTACCTATAATCTCACAATCATATTAATAACAAAAGTAAACATAACTTCTGCAATAAAATATATTAACATTTCATAGACAGAAGAACTTATTGTTCTTCTGTCTATGTCTGTAGGGATTAAAACAAAAATATTGAAATTAACGATTAATTTTCTATCTTGTTAATATTAAATCTATTTATAAAATTGAAACGGTTTTGAATTGGTGAATTTAAAAACAGAACTAGCAATTTTACCATGTCATTATTTACTGTCTGGGTGTTATATCATGTTGTCGCAGCATTGCCTCGGCGACTGCCCCGGCGGGACGGGTGACTGGGCCAGCCAGCAGACAGCGCGCGGCACCAGCCCGCAGCCCGCAGCCCGACCAGACGTAATGTGCTCGCGATAGATGGCATTCAGGTCGGACGACGTTACCGAGCGGACGCGCGTTCTCATATTTCGAGCGCGCTCACCTCGATCGTTCAACATTTCTAACGAAAGTTTTTTGTTGTAAAGTTTTTATTTAGCTTTTACTGTTAGACTGCTACGCGGGTGCTAGTACTTAGAAAAAATTAAAAGTCCATATTTAAAGGCTAACGTGTTTTCGTTTCTCTGTTGTGGTTGCCAATAAATTGAATTTTGTTACGAGGTGACGTATAAACACTGTGCCGGTGATAACGGAGTATGATGTGAATAGTGCTGTGTTTATGTTTGTGATGTGCAGTTTAGTGTAGACGTGGGTTGTTTACAATGGGGTACGCGTCGAGCGGAGCGGGGCGCGCCGCGCACGAGGCGTTGCTGGCTCGCCAGGATGCGGAGCTGAGGCTCATGGAGACCATGAAGCGAAGCCTACAGGCTAAGATGAAGAGCGACCGGGAATACGCCCTCGCATTGTCCGCCGCCGCCGCACAAGGCCAGAAGATGGACAAGTGTGAAGAACTTAACGGTAAAATGCACCGCCACTTACTAGAATTAACTCATTAGCACCGCCGAATATACTTATACCAACCAATATACTACATAAACCAAAACTTCATTTCACTGATACTTTGAAAAGTAATGTAAAAACGCCAGGAGTCAGGCGTAATTAATGTTAGTTACCTAGATTAAAAAATACATTAGTCTTTAGCTGCAATGGAATGTTCTGTTGGCTAATGTTATCTAGTTTCTAAGATAAATTGCAAAGAATCTGGTAAATAAAATCCCGATAAGAATTTTAAAAGGAAGGTATTTTGAAAATAGTATTGTTGATAGCGAAGGTGCATAATTAAAAAAAACCCATAGTAAGTAGTGGTCTTTTGAACTACACCATTTAGTCTATAAAAATATGTATCTACTAGTTTTTTTTTCGAATATATACATATGTAGGTACACAAAAAAGATGTCTGAAACCAGAACCACTGATTGGATGGCTAGACTAACGTTTTAATTTCCTACTTACCTTTGAATGGTGTTTAAATTTAACATTTTTGCCAATGATACGGGTATTATTTACTTCCGGCAAAATAAACACCTAGGCTATTTCCTGACTGCAGTTAATTATCTAAACATAATTATTAGTTAATAGTTGGCAGCTGTATTTAATGCCAAATCTCATAAGAATATTTTTTAAACTACTGAAAGTTTCTCTATTTAAAAAAGCAACTCAAGAATGGAACTAATATTTGACTACCGACCTACTGTTAGGCTTATTTCAGCCCTAACAGAATGTTAAAATTAATTACAGTCATAAAGTTTTTGGCATAATAATGACTATCTGAAGAACTAAAACAGACATTTTATGAATCAGAAATTAGATTGCCAAGGAGTTTAAGGATCTGAAAGATATACATATTTTCGTAGGTACCTATATTAAAGGAAAGTATATTTAGGTCGCCAAGCCATAGAAAAAATAAAATAAAAAAAATGCACCAACTAAAAACTAATTTTCACCGTGTAATTATTCTTTTTACGAATGCTGTTACATAATAATTATGTTGTTATCAATATTCCAAGTGGTAGGTGTTACGACTCACAGTGGGCGATACCATTGTTCTCACTATAAAGTATAGATAAGTAGACCAATGTGGGTTGGCCCTACTATTATGCTTTTGAATTGTTTTTAAGAACCATATTTAAAAAAATGACAAACCTCAACGTGGGACAGGTAGCTTTTGTGAATTATTTGGCAGCTTTCAATTCTTTTTTTTTTGGTACTTTTATTTGTTTGTAAGAAGTTGTGTGGACAGTAAAATAAAGATTATATTATGTTTATATTACCATACGTAATTTTTAAGTTAATAATGCACGATACGTAATCTTATCTTAAGAATGTATGATACATCTTGTATTGCATTTGATTCAACGGTTTATCAATAGTCTTGATGATTTGTTTCCGATAAATAAATTAATAAGTCTCTTCTTTACAAGCTAATAAGTATTTTTATATCATAGCGTTATAAATTATAATAAATCACAATGCCCAGAGCGAGTTTGCTTTACGCTAACGCGATCGAAACGTAACCGTATTAAGCCCTCTGATTGGTTGGTTGCTTGGAACAAGCCAATCAGAGCCCCGAACGTCATAAAATTGTCGATGGCGTCAAGACGGTTAAACAGATTAATTCAAATAGTTTAGTAAGTATGCAGTTATCGAATATACTACACGTGGGTGTAGGTTAGAATTCCAAATATTGTAAAGTAGTAATTGAAACGTGTCAAAGATTACGTAAACAAATTGCAAATATAGGACGACTGTCATGCAAAATGCTTTCAGACAAATTGTGCCAGGAATCAGTCATCAGGTTCGCCACGCCTCTAGTCTAGACAGAAATGTTACCAATAATATCTTATGACTTAACAACGTTACATAAATATTTGTGACCGAAGTTGTAGACAGACAACTAGATATGTTCTACATATGTTTTATACATATAGTAAATAAATGCAACATTTTCTTTCATCGTCACCTTATAATAGCAATCGTACGTGCTACTACTGCTGAATCAAATTTTTTATTCAAGCGGGGCTTGCACTTATAACTTGGAATCGTAGACCTTCAAACTTTTAACAAACGAGCATACTCCTTCTTAAATAGTCGACAATACGCCTAGTAACGAATCTTCTTTGGTGTGTGGGCATCCATAGGTGGCGCTGATCACTTACAATCAGGTGATCCATCTCCGTTTCTATAAAAAAAACCCCTTCATTGACAGTTAATAGGAGGAGCATGTTCTATCATCATCATAGCCTTAGATGTCTAAAATGTTCTATCTAGGGTAAACTTGCCTAATTCGTACCACTTAAGGAGAACCTCGAAAATTTTGAAAATGAACAATGATACACAGTTAATTATATTAAGTAGTTATAATTAAACTAATGTTCTATTAGTATTCCGATAAAATATAACATAAATCTTATAAACTTCTGAGAAATAAACAATTTTCAAAAACCTAAAAAAAGTACGATTTAAGACCATTGATCTTAAATCGTACCAGTATATTCTTAAATCGTACTTTGAGATCCTATCATTGTTTTACAGTCTTAAAAATCACAATCTTAATAATCTTCTACTCTTTTTTATCTTAATGTACCTAGATTACCTAATTCTTATTAATACAGCGGATGGTCTTTTCCAAATCTTGAAAGTCATCGCAGTAAAATAAAGTTTAGTTTTTTTTAATTCGTCTTGCACATAGCACACTTCATAGCGTACCCGTACTTCACAATTACTGCATAAAATAATGTTCTTTTTTAGTTTTATTAAATAAAAACACAAACTAAAAAATAATCAAGTAAGTAATTAATATTTACTGTGATATTAAACATTGTTTTCCGAAATCGTAAGTACGTACGTTTTAAGAAGTTGCTGCGAGTACGAATTAGGCACAAGTATCTAATGAATTTCAAATTAGCCGCAAAAAAAACTGTCAACGAACAAGTCGGCTTTACCATGTGAAATATATTCACAAATATACGTATAAATATATAATAAACAGTTAAACAACTTATGAACGGTATACTTGGAAGACAGTTCTTGTGAAGTATGCAAAAAAATTACTCAAAAAGTGAAAAAGAGTGAGAAAAATCTTACCCGTTCAATATTTTTGTCGGGAGCAATGTAACAGGTGTTTATTTGTCATATGGCAATCTGGCCGACTATTATTGACATTTTATGCCATCAGAGGCGTTGGTAACTATTACCCATGCCAAGATATAGACGAGGTACGATTTAGGCGCAGGTACGAATTAGGCAAGTTTACCTATATACTCCTTATTATCCACATAAATAATGAAGAAAAAGACTTATTAAGTGACTTATCTTAATTCTTGTTTAGTTGAACTTAATGAATAGTTATTTCATAAAAAAACATGTGACATGTAGGTAAATGTAACATTTTATACTAACAGTATTTGTCCTTTTGTTCCAGGGTCTGTGATAGCATCTGCCTGGCGAGCCATGACCGAAGAATGGGAAAATATCAGCCGCCTTATTAGGGCTAACGCTGAGGCTGTCGAATCAAAAGCCCTAGACAGACTTACAACCCTCATGACAGAACGACGAAAATCAAGGAAAGTCTACCAAGAAGATCATACAAAAATCTCTTCGCAGTTTACACAGGTAACAAAGCAGACAATATCGTTAAAATATTTCGATAAATTTTGTGTATGTATTAGTGTTTTGGAGACGGACTCAATTTGGCTCATCAAGCCACCTACCTAGGTACTGATGCATTACAATATGTTCATACTGTAAAGGTATCAAGTATTATCCTTAATTTATTCCATATGTTATTGCTCATTTTAATTGCTCTTCCAGAATTTAGATTGTCATGGGTCACATGGTTAATTCATGATATCTCACTTTTCTTGCGTATATTCTCGAAAAAGGCCTCTGTAGGTTTGGATAGCTTGATATTAACGGAAACAGGCTCTTTCCGAAGTCCATAATTCGCAGCTTTCTTATCACGAGTGGTATCACCGTATCGGATCACGTCTACTGTCGATAATACTGACGCATGTTCTATTTTATTGCTTCTTAACTTACTACTCAATCACGTTCTTCTTTCGTTGATACTGATAGCTTGTACGGAAATTATCTACACACGTTTGCTAGTTTTTCTCAAACACACCCTTATATTAATTTTTGCAAATTATGGAATTCCAACACAATGTTTTGTCTTAACTTTAATTGATTGTACATAAAACTGTACTATTTCGTGTGGATAAGTGTGCAACGGTGTTTATAATCAGATAGTACCGTTTGCAGTTGCACATATTGTGTTTATGTTTATTTATTTTCTAAATGGCCATGGCTAGAACCGAACAGTCGGAACCCGCGGCCCGTTACCGACCGGTTCGGCTAGCTTCTTAGTTCCTCGTTCGCTTCCTATCGCTGATCTACTCCCAGTACCTGATCCTCGCAATTAGGTCTTAGAGAACGGTGCAAAGCAAAGAACCGTGTCGAGGCCAGTTTACAAACAGACATTAACTTTACCACCAACAACGGCTAGTTTCCATGTTGGTTAATCGATTTCATACGACGACGGACAACGCCTAGTACCACTCGTTATTGATGAATGATCCGCTATGATCATTGTCTATAACAAATTGTACAAGAGAACATGCGAGTGAATCGACTTATTTCCAGATGCAATAACACAAATCGATTTCTTATTCGCTCCGAACTAACGTTTACCGGATCGAATCTCAGGGAGGGACCAGTTTTGTGAAGTGTATTTTTGCAGCTTAAGTTCTTGTTAAACTATAAACCTGTTTATTGAGATTAGGATTTTGAAATGTTCCGATATCATTATGGACGCCATCTCGTTTAGGTTTTGGACTAATGCCAATTTTTTGCTTGAGATGTAAATAAAACAAGCAATATTGGCGCCGTCGTGCCGTGCGTCGTGCGATATACCACCAACATTTAAACGCATCTGTTAACATTTTATCTGGAACTTAAAATTAGGCTGCGCTCTATTTACCAATGCTTACTGGCTATAAATGATTTATGTTTTCGCAGAAACTGTGGGTTTCTTTCTGGGCGTGGACGAAATGAACGTCAGTGTGACTAAATGTTAGAAAGTTAGTTACCCGACCAGTGTCATGGCTCGGAGGTAGAAGCGACAGGAAGGACATTTGTATGCTAGGGAATGCACTCGCTTTAATGAATGACTGACATTAGACCGCACAGTAACGACCTCCTGGAATGCGTGGGACGATACCCGGAGAATTACAATTCCGTTCACAGATCACCGTCTACTTGAACTTTTTCAGCTAACAAAGGATTACGTAAGCCTTTGGATCAAAGCTTACAACGATGACTTTGAACTTTTGTGAGAACTAATAACAAAATCTGTTTCGTTCTCAATGTTAGTAATGGCACATAAATTACAATTGAGGTTTAATAATTTCTAAATAAGTTAGTGATCAGAAGATTGATCGGTAAACAAAGCCAGTGCAAAAGCAGCCCAGGTTAGGTGAGAGGTCCTTTGCCCTCCGCGTCTCGCTTTCACTCGTGGGTATTCGAATGCACCAGAGAAGGATGTAGACATAATTTCGTGATTTGAACCGAGTCGCGTAAAGTGAGATTCTGTATCGGGATTGGTCGCGCGGCACCTGTCAACGTTCATTGGCCCTGCGCCCGCGCGCGGCGCGTGCACGACTGATTTCTTTTTAGTTTCACCTTTTTGGCCATTATTTTTGCATTACTTGAAAAACTATTGCTTTTTGTATGAGGATAATGTTGTCTCAATATTCTGTTAACCAAGTACAAGTTTCTTTGTAGGTAAGTAATCGTTTTGCAAAATAAGAAAGGGAATAACACCCCATATTGCTAGTATTGTATAAATGGTCATATAACATATGAAATGTTAAATGACCATTTATGCCACATTCCCACGTTGATACCTATACATTTAATTAATTCTGCGGTATTAGGCCGGACATTAGTCATATTGTACCCGTAGAATAGCTAATGTGTGCGGTGTCGATGTTGAAATCCGAAACAAAATCCGGCTGAGAATATAGAAGTCAAGTCAGTCTTCGTATCTACGTCGCACCGGATATTGTTGCTAGGTCTTTTAGACTCAATTGGAAAACTAGTGTCTTTCCGTGTCTGCGTTACAAAACAAATAAAAACGACAGAATCTGGGGCAAAACAATCGCGACGTGTCTTCTCTGATTTTCCTAGTGACCGCTAACAATTCACAATTTCACCTAGTTTTGTTTGAATTGCACTGACAGAATGCTTTTCACTAAATTGCGGTTCATTTTTAAAGTAGATGTAATAAATGCTTCAAGAGTAAAGTTAGTATATTTCTTGACTGGAATGAATTCGTCTGCATACATGTCAGAAGATTAACCAATAGTCCAACCTATTATTATGTAAAATTTTTACTTTGATTAATAAGCGTCCTGGGATTGTCAACAAATTACAATTTTATGGCGTGACATATTACTTACCTTCGTCGCGTCGATTCGCGTCATCAGACTATGAAGGTGAATGTCATAATGTATATGATACCAATGTTTAAGTCATCATTGCATTTCAGTCAGTCTACAACATCATTAGGTCATTACACAGATATGCTATAATTGGAGTCTCGTTGTGAACTGTTTTAAATTATCATTTTATTACTTCATTTTCTTATGGTGTCAACTGTGCGAGTCAGGATGTGGATAAATATTAAAAATGGGTTCTAGGGATGTTTTGGTTTACGATGTTAGCTTTGGAGGTCGAAGAATACATATACATATTCACTTGCAATGATGTTATGAATGTAGTATAATATGAATTGCGTATTTTTTCCTAAGTAGGTCATGTTCATAGCACGCAGCGTAATTACGAAGTATTTCTAGACATGTGTAACGTACAATTAGCCGTGTGAACATCACTGTATGACATTTTATTTCTTGCCTCTGTAAATACTTAGGTATCTGGCTTGTATTGCAAAATATCCGTTTGATTTCAACCAGTAATTCTACGGAAATAACTTATTTTGTAACATTTATCTTTGCAGTTTATTTTTTGCAGCATCTAAAGGTTGTGTTTGTGCCAATATTTTACGGTGTTACAATATTTTGATGTAAAACAGATCCAGTCGTGCGCCTTGTACGAGATAGTACTGGATCCGTCCATAAAAACAAAATAAAATTGTGTCATAGTTATATTTAGATGAGCCTACAATTAAAATAATTGTTTAGGGCAAAAAAAATACCGATTAAATTTTTTTCTCAAATAAAGGATAGCGGCGTGTTCGCCGAAAGCAATTTATAACAGTTGGTATAAACGGCCATGGAACCATTTGAGTAAATTGTAAAATAAATTGAATGGGCAATTGCTAACCGTATGGATATAGCGAGTTGTGGATCAAGACATTATTGGTACTTTGGAGTTGATTGTTTCGTATTTGATAAATAGGTTATGTACAATAATTTGCAGCAAATACTTTACATTAAAAGGTCACAGTTTAACCTGTAGGATATAGGGTAGCGTGTTTATTAACACATTGGGTATAGATCTTCAAACTATTTGATTTAAGAACTATGTTTCGCTGTTATGAGTACCCTAACGTGCCTTTGAAGGAATTATAAGAATGATAACTTAGTTGACCGGAAATTAAACTGTCATGATCGGTCCAAATATGAATCGATGGGAGCCTGCGACGCCCCCATTGTTGCGCAAGAGTCGAATCGTCTCATTAGTGGGCTGAGTGCGCAGCGAAAGTGAAATCAACCGACGATCAGTGAAAGTCTCAATGACAGTTATCTAATTTTGATAGCAGGTTCATGATTATGACGCGTCTAGCTGTGGGTGATCTCGGACCAGTTTAGGGAAGATCAATTAGGGACGTGTTTTGATACAGTATCCACGCTCCGGCCACAGTCGGCTGGATTCCACTCCCAATTAAACTTCCGATCGTGAATGATTTCTTCCGCACTGAATTTACTCACATTCTTCGTGTCAAGATAAAACTAGATCAAGGTAGTTTGCGTGCGTTTGTTTCTCAGTAATATTAGTAATTCTGTCTAAGGCGGTAGGACAAACAGAAAATCGGGCCAGCTGTTCACACTAAATGTTTGACGCAAGTTATTAAACAGGGGTCAGTGATATTATTTCTTTGTAAAAAAGACAGTAATCGACTGTCAAAGAAGTCATTTAATAAAAAGGAAGGTAAAGTTGAGTAATTCATAATTATTGTTGCCATACTTCAGCGAAAACGACGTAACTCACAAATTCCGTTGAATGATGGACCGTATTTGCAACATTAAAACTCAACAATGAGGTTTTATCTAAGAAGTTGCATTCCAATGCTGCGCTGAGTCAATGGACAGTCTTTGTTTCCAGTTTGTGTGAATACCGAACAACAGTGTGGTTATTTAGTGGTATTTCCTTTTACCAGAGATAACATTATCTTATGACATTACCGTGCAAATATCAAGGTCACTGCCGCGTCTCGTGGACGGTGGACTGGACGGTACTATTCTGTGAAACTTTTCAAGTTTTTGTTACAAAAATACTTAACATAAACCTGCTTAGTGCTTAGTGATAGGAAAATGCTAATGAAATAATATTTTTTATCTTTAATGAATTAAGTAGTTTCATAAAGTTTACGG